CAGAGCGGTATGAGAACGGCAGAATGTCAGAGCGACAGAGCGGTATGAGAACGGTAGAACGTCAGAGCGGCCGGCCGAATGACAAACATTTTGAAATGCTCCCTTGAATCTCGTCGGAATTATGCTAACTGGTTTTTTAACATAAATTTTGTATGCAATATTTATCCTGTAATACATTCTCTAGTTTTATTGTATAGTATTATATTTTTTTTACAAGAATTATTTCTAATGATTATGGAAATTAATTAAGTCTTCATTTAGATATATTTTTTTAAATAAGATATGTTTTTAAACTTATCATGCAAGAACAGCATAAAGATAATTTATTGCTTTAGCATGTATTAATCGAAAAGTATCAAGTGTAGAAGTAAAGCAACATTTTAATACAGTTTCTTTTATTCATAAAATTATATGTCCTATATCATATGTACATGTATAACGTATGTCTTTTTGATATTCAAATAAATTTAATTTTATTAATAGTAACATGTTATGTACTAACTAAAATTTATTATCTTCTTTCAGATTTATAATATCTAATTTTATGTCTTAAGACTATCGATTCTTATTTTATAATTTGGTTGAATGACAATAAGAAATTTCAGACAATATCGTCGTCTTCTTATAACAAAAGCTAATACTCAAACATCAATTAAAAAAACAAGTCAATAAAACATGTTTTGCAGCAAGTACCGATTTACCTGTGTTCATGATATTTTAATAATAGTTCTGATCCAGTCTGGTTTTTGCAAATAATCCTGGTTTTTTTTGTCGATATTTGGTACTCTGATGAAAGAACATCTCTAAAATCCAGAAAGACAGATTATTCGTCAAAACAAGAATGAATCAGAATGATCTTTAAAAAAATTAGAAAATCATGAAAACTGACTAATATATTTCCTCTTTATATATGGCAAACATCTTTTTTTTTGAAAAAAATATAGTATAATTTGTTAACTGAAACCTCACGCTAATTATCTTATGATTCACATGTCTTTGTATTTTTTTTATACATTTTTAGTAAGTATTTTTTCTATTGAATTATTAAAAATAATCAATACAATCTATCGATTTTTTATAAGTAAAAATTTGATTATACAAATAAGATCATCGACTCTTAGAATGACATTTATTCAAAACGATATCGATGGAAATACAAATCATGAATTATCAACAAGAACGATGAGCTATGAATAAAACTATGTGAATAGACTGGTAACAGTCTAAAGTATCCTTGAAAAAACATTCTGGGCTTGTCGTCCTTGAAAAAAGGGGTCGTTAACTATCAAATGTTGTTGCAGTATAGTTTGTGGAGTATGAATATTCATCTTCTCTTCATCCGCACGCATCCATCCATATATACATATACACATTTTCATCTGCTTTTCAATAATATAATATCAAAATAACAACAATAATGTTCTTGCTCGGAACATTTTTATACGCAGAATCATTTCACATGGACATTCCGACCAAGAGAACATGTATTCCAGAAGACGGAAAATACGGGACATTTTCGATAGAATATTTTAGACCGTATTCGATAAAAGAGGTTAGTTGTCTCCTCTGTTTTTGTATTGCTGTATTACCATTAACGTTAGGTGTCTTTCTGTCGTGTCAATCATGAGTGATTTTACTTGTTACTCTTGACTGATTAGTGTTCTTCCTTTTATATGGAATTGTCATAAATAAATAATGGCATCATTAATATGTCGGCAAGGTGCACAAAAAAAAATGAATTGTTCAAACATTTTCAAAAACGTTTTGTAGACTGTCTTCAATAGTCAAATGGCTTCAGGCATAATTATAGCAGGTGATGTAGTTGCAAGTTTAACAACAAGTGCTGCTATTGTTGGTCTTGGTCTTACAGCTGCAGATAAAATAGGTTCAGCTTATGGTCGAATAGTCGAAGAAATGTATAAAGAACAAAAATGGGCTAACTATTATAATAAACTAACATATTATTAGAGTGCAGTAGAACAATCAAATTATTATTATCATCATCATTATCAACAAACTGGACATCATCGTCATTATTGTGTACCAGTTGGATTTAATCATGATGGACATACTTATGCTTATCATGGTTAACTTTTATCCAGAAAAACTAAATTTTTTTTACATAGACAAAGGAGGTGTGGCAATAAGGCCGTTGTTTTGCTCGTGATATCTTCAATATTTTTCCATTGGAAGTGTGCATCGGGCAGTTGTTACGAGTATTTCATGAGACTTAGTTTTGCTCTATCTGGACATGGCTTTTTTGACTTCTGTGGTCTTCCAGGATTTCCAAAAAAGCTTTGTTTATCAAATCGCTCCAAGATTATATTCACTAGACAGTTTTCACGATGGGTACAAATATCGTATTTAAAACCGAAAACAATTGAGTTTTAATAAAGAAACGCGCATCCTACTAATAAATTGATCACAGAATAGTTTTTCATCTCATTTTCTCTATCCATATCAAGTGAAATCAGCTCTAAAAAAAGCTATATTTGATTGCCATTTCGCAAAAAAAGCGTAGAAATATTGGTAAAAATGAGTTTTTTAAACTTCTTATCGAACTCTATACTACTCGAAGACAGTTTGGTGTCATGAAGTCATATGTACAGACCGACTCAGTTTTCTATGTCTTATCCGAATATAAATTCAAACCCGTAAAAAACAGATGTATATCAGGTTTTCAGAGATCCTCTGGAAAACCAATCCGAGAATCCTAGAGAATTCAGGCTTTTCGGTAACACTATTGTATTCAACATATCTCAAAACCTATCCGTACAATTTTTCATAGGCTTCATCCGACCACAACAATAAATATTCAGAATATTCTAATAGATTGACAAGTAAGCCGATTTTTTCTTTTGTTTGAAGCAATTAGCATATTACATGACCGAGTCAAGTAAAAACTATGACCAGTTGCACGGACAGGTTTTAAGACATCCTGAATACGATGGTGCTGGCACAAAGCCTAAGTTCTTTAGAATTCTAGGATTCATTTTTCAGAGGATCTCTGGAAACCTGATGTACATCTTTCTTTTGCAGATCTGGACTCATATTCGAATAAGGCATGGAAAACTGAGCCGCACTGTACAAATGGCTTCTTGACATCAGATCATCTTCGAGTAGTATAAAGTCTGATAAAAAGTTAAAAAACTCATTTTTATAAATATTTGTTCGCTTTTTTGCGAAATTGCAATCAAATATAATTTTTTTAGAGTTGATTTCACTTGGAATGGATAGAACAAATAAGATGAAAAACTACTCTGTGACCAATCTATGAGTAGTATGCGTCTTTCTCTGTTGAAACTCAATTGTTTTCAGTTTTAAATACGAGAGTTGCACCCACCATGAAAAACGGCATCTAGTGTATATAATCTTGGAGTAATTTGATAAACAAAGTTTTTTGAAAGTCTTGGAAGGTCAACAGGAGTCAAAAAGATCATGTCGAGATGAAGCAAAAGTAAGCCTCAGGAGATATTCCTGACAACTCCCTGATACACTTCCGATCGAAAAAAACAAAAATATCGTGAGTAAAAATTGACCTAATTGCAACACCTCTACTAAAAAGTATAAAAACTAATGTATGTCATCGATCGATGACTCCACTAGTCTAAATAAATAGCTTTGAAAATAAACTTTCATATGAAAGTTCATAGGTATGTCAATTAATAATCATCTGTTTATGATAATTCATTCTGTATCAATGATTGGATTTACTAACTTTAATTACAAAAATTAATATAAAAAGAATTTTCTAATTGTTAGATTGATTAACAATAATGACAAATTCTTCTCTAATTTAATTTCATAAAAAGACTTCAATTAATTATGAAATTGAAATAAAATTTAATTAGAAAATCAACTAATATATCGATAGACTCGAACTAAAAATTCATTTTCTGATATGTAAATTATTAATAAATTTTAACCCTGTTCTAAAATGTATTATATTGTATAATCACTGTCAGTTTATTTGATAATCTAATAATTATTCTAGAATAAAATAAAATTTATATTTTATTTTTCAGATAAAATTCTAACATGTTTTTTTCTTCTTGTAGATAAGTTTTAATTAGATAAAATTGAACATAGTTCACTAGTTAAGATAAGTAAAGAGAGACTTCAGCTATTAATAGATATTTAAGTGAAACTTTTCTATAACAATCATCGGAGAATATCCTTATTGGTACTTAAACGAAATAAGTATTATTACTTACTTGATAATAAAGTTAAAAATAGCAGCGGTTACTTAAAATAAAAGAGACGAATGTCGATTGACGAAAGGTTTTTTAATAATTTATTTGATCAAAATAGAAACATCTACTTACCTGGTGATCACCCTAAGCGACACAATGCTTTGATGATAATATTTTGTTCTTAAGTGGAACATTATGACACTAGAGAAGCCTAAAAATATACGAAGCCATAAGCATTTCTTTCTAAGATTTGATCATTCTATTAGATTTACCAAAGAATCAAAATGCAGAATAACAATCTGACATTTTCCTGTTGTTCTGATCTTAGGATTTTGATAGTAAACTCAATGTCACAGTTGAAAAAGATAGCCCTTTCTCAAGGGTACTCCATTTTATTGATGAGTAAGATCAGGAAATTTCCTTGACAAGTCCATATTTCGAGAAAAAAAGTATTTGTTTCGTCTATAATATATAGGTTACTATCAGAGTCTACGGAGGCGAAATTTCAGATCAAAATTCTGCAACTTGAGTCTTTGATAAACCTAGTTTAATGATCATATGTTAAATAGAAAAGAAATTTGTTACTCTTACTGTTCCTTATTTATGGCCAAAATGACATTTATTAAGACAGAAAATGTTTTATATGGTTTTTTTTTCCCATGAATATTCACCACTTGTCACAACATCCTAATCATGTTTTGTCATAAAGGAAATGATTAAGATTATTATTGAATTTACGAATAGATCAAGGTTTTTTTTATTAACTTTTTATAACGAAGCCACGGAATCTTCTTTCTTAAAATAAAACATATTTTAATCTATTAATCTTTCATCAGCTTCTTTAATCTTAACTATAATCTAAGAAAATAATCTAAATAATTCATGATGAATATATCATCGTTAATTCCATTTGCAATATTAAATATATGAATACTATTGTAAAATCAGAGAGTTCTATGATACTCAACTGTTTTGATTGACTTTTTCAATCTAAGTAGAATAAACAAACACTTCAATTCATTATAAATATTTGATAATGATTAATAATTATTATTTTCAAACGATAATAAAATTAATATTTATTTCCTTATTTTTTGTTTAATTGAAAAGAAAAATTTTATTAATCTGTTGTTATGTTATTACCAAAAATTCATTGTATTTTTTTATTCGACTTGAATTCAGCAACAACAACAATAAGAAGAGAAGATAAATCAGATGTTTATATCTCTTCTTCAATCTTTCAATCATTTCTTTTTTCATTTATGTATCAGCTACCGTTACGTCAACATTCACACCTGGTTCAATACTTAACAAATAAACAAAAAGAAAATATAATTCAAAAAAAATAACCATAAATGAATTGTAATTTATTCTTACCTAATTGATGTGATTTGTTTAATAATTTCCGATTTTGAATGTAAATCAACAACACATTTATGAATATGCATTTGAAAATGATTTCAATCATTTAAACCTTCACCACATGGTGTTTTACGTGTTATTATGCGTAAAATTTTAGTTGGCTTACAAACTGATTCTTTAACACGTGCCATGATAGATAAAATTGTTTTTTGAATGATCTTTTAAATTAAGTTATTTATTTCCACAATTATTCAAGAGAAAAAAACCATGTACAGAGAAAGAGCAAAATACGATCTACATTTTGATAATTAAAACTTTTTAAAAGCAAGACACCTGTGGAGTGAAATGCTTATTTCATGACAGACAACTGAGAATGTTTATGTGAACTCTTTATCCGTTTTAGATAAAGAGGTTGTTTTTTTCTTTTCAAATATCATATTCGAAAGAGTGTCTGATGCTGCAGAAGATATTAAATAATTTCAAGTTTCCCGAAAAAAATCTTTTACGATTTTGACAAGTCATTCTCTGAAATAATTGCTGTGTTAGACACACTCTCAAATGTGATATTTGGAAAGAAAAAAAAAATCTCATTCTATAAAGAGGGTAAAAAGTTCACATAAACATTCTCAGTTGTCTATCATAAAATAAGCCTTTCACTCCAAAGGCGTCTTACTTTTAATTATCACAATGTAGATTATGTGGCTTTTGTTCTTTTAAACAACTGTGAAAAAAAAACCTCATTTCAAAAGATCGTCCACAAAAACAACTTGTTCAACAAAAATTGACTACTTCGGATTGTTATATGCTCATGTCCACTATGAATCAGCATTTAGAAATAACATTTTTTGTGGACATAGTATA